CATTCACCTGAGCTGGCGGGTTCGAAGGTTCGAATCCAGCCCAGGCCCGCCAAACAACAATGACAGCTGCAACCAAAAAATAGCCAGGCGTTGTGGCAGACGCCTGTAATCCCAGCTACTTGGGAGGCAGACGCAGGAGAATCGCTTGAGCCCAGGAGTTGGAGGTTGCTGTGAGCTGTGATGCCACAGCAATCTACCCAGGGGGACAGCTTGAGGCTCTGTCTCAAAAACAAAAACAAAAAAACCATTACAGGCTCGGCACCTGTAGCTCAGAGGTTAGGATGCCAGCCACATACACGGGCGATGGCAGGTTTGAACCCAGCCCAGACCTGCCAAACAACAACGACAACCAACAACAAATAGCCAGGCATTGTGGCGGGCGCGCCTTTAGTCCCAGCTATTCCGAAGGCTGAGAAAAGAGAACCGCCTAAGCCCAGGAGTTGGAGGTTGCTGTGAGCTGTGATGGCAAAGCACTCTATCAAGGGCAATAAAGCGAGACTCTGTCTCTTAAAAAAACAAACAAAAAACACAATTAGCGGCCAAATTCTGACATTTACCGCAAGCCCCCATCAAACACCACTTCAATCGTTCAGAATATTAATTCTTTAAAAACATTTGCTCTGGATTCGGTGACTACGATGCATAACTGTGGTTGTGCTGTTAACACTCATCCCTGCCGCCAGGCCTATTTCCATCCTTTCCCCTGTCCACTCGCCACCACGCCAGACCTCCTCGCCCGGGTTCGGCCACGGTTCACATTCAGCTTTGTTCCGACGTTTGGCCACAGACGAGCCCCTGGAGTGGTGGCTTCATCCAGGGCCCGGACCCCACACCCTCAACCTAAGTGACCTGCAGACTCAGTCTCATCCCTGCACCCCAGCTGCCCATGAAGACGCCAAACCCGCCCGGCGCTCCGAAATTGAGCTCCGCGCACTATAGCCCTCTTACTGGAATCGGCTCAGCCATCGCCTCCCGTGGCTCTGCCGGGCCGGACAACCGCCGACCCTCCGTGGCAGCGCACTGACCCCAGTCACGCCCAGGCTCCTAGCCCGATCTCGGGTCGACCCTGGCGCAGCGCCGGCCAAGGCGCAGTGCACGCTGGGAAGTGGCGGGCCCGGGCGCAGCTGACGCTCCGCCCCACAGCGCCCCCGTTGGGCGGGAGGCGCCTTGCAGTCCCAGGCACGGTTATGGGGCCTAGGACGCCCAGCCCCACAGCGCCCCCTGCGACCGAGAGGAGCAGGCGCCGTTCCGGATGGCCCTGAGAGGAGGGGTTCCTGGCCCTGGCCACGCAGGCCACAGCCCACGCATGTGAGATGGGTCCTCCAAAAGTGTTGAAATTTCCAAAGGGAGGGAAACAGTTGGAGAATATAGAAAGAGACGGGAGACACAGAAAGGGGGTGGCACAAGAAGAGGCAGAAAAAGGAAAATAATGGAGAGGGGTGACAATTGTCCCCAGAAAATCAAACTCAGATTCTATCCTAATCATAGTTTAGGAGTCAAGCTATGTAACAGAAAGTGAGAAGTCTGGGAGGAGAGGGAGTGGCAAGAGAAAATAGTCCCGGTATAGCTATGATGAGCATGTGCTTGTATTGTGTTTGCTGTGGAATATCTTACTGTTAAAATTCTTTTTATTTAAAAAAACATTATAGAGTAGGGCGCCGACCCCATATACCGCGGGTGTCAGGTTCAAATCCGACCCAAGCCAAACTGCAACAAAAAATGGCCGGGCATTGTGGCAGGCGCCTGTAGTCCCAGCTACTCGGGAGGCTGAGGCAAGAGAATTGCCTAAGAGGCGGCGCCTGTGGCTCAAGGAGTAGAGCTCCGGCCTCATATGTTGAGGGTGGCGGGTTCAAACCCAGCCCTGGCCAAAAAAAAAAAAAAAGAGAGAGAGAGAGAATCGCCTAAGCCCAGGAGCTGGAGGTTGTTGTGAGCTGTGACGCCACAGCACTCTGCCAAGGGCGACAAAGTGAGACTCTGTCTCTAAAAAAACAAAAACCATTGTGGAGTAAAAGTGATTTTTTAGTGCATAGTACTACATTTTACTACCAACTTTTTAATAACCTTATAGAACTACCAATTTTAAATGAATCAGACTAAAGTTTCATCACCTTTCACAATTGTACTATCTTTTGATTCATCTCCCTTCACATCTGTAACCCACACCAAGGACTGATTTCTGTCCCTATAGTTTTTTTTTGTTTGCTTGTTTTTAGAGGCAGAGTCTTACTTTGTTGCCCTCGGTAGAGCGCTGTGGCATCACAGCTCACAGCAACCTCCAGCTCTTGGGCTTAGGTGATTCTCTTGCCTCAGCCTCCCGAGTACCTGGGACCACAGGTGCCTGCCACAATGCCCAGGTATTTTTTGTTGTTGTTGAAGTTTGGCCAGGGCTGAGTTTGAACCTGCCTCCCTCAGTATATGAGGCTGGCACCCTACTCACTGAGCCACCTGCGAACACTGACCCCAGTGACGCCCAGGCTTCTAGCCTGATCTCAGGTCAACTCTGACTAGGCCTCCCAGAGTACTGGGATTACAGCCATGAACCACTGTGCCTGGCCTTGCTATATATTTAGTAATAACTTTATAAGAAATAAACCATTTTGCAGAGTTATATTACTGTTTTGTATTCCCATGAGTAATGTATGAGGGTTCCAGTTGCTCCACATTCTCCAGAGCACCTGTCCCTATAGTTTTATTTTTCAAGAATGTCACAAGAATGGAACCACACAATATGCAGCCTAGGATACGTAGTTCCACTCAGCATAATACCTTTGAGATTTATCTATATTATTACCTGTAGTCAACATCACTGAGTGGGGCTGGGTATTGTTATGCATGCCTGTCTTCCCAGCTACTTGGAAGGCCAGAGGCAGGAGAACCCCTTGAGCCCAGGAGATTGAGGCCACCTGGAGCAAAATGGCAAGATCCCATCTCCTTAAAAAATGTAACAAAAGGCAGTGCCCATAGCTCAGTGGGTAGGTCGCCAGCCCCAGGCACCAGGGCTGGTGGGTTCGAACCCATCCCTGGTGCTAAAAACAAAAAAATAGCTGGGGGTTGTGGCGGGCATCATAGTCCCAGCTACTTGGGATGCTGAGGCAAGAGAATCACTTAAGCCCAAAAGTTGTAGGTTGCTGTGAGCTATGACACTACAGCACTTTACTGAGGGCAACAAAGACTCTGCCTCAATAAAAAAAAGAAAAAAGGAACAAAAAAGAACATGTGCTATGAATACATTACAGTTTATTATCCATCACCCATTGAAGGATATGTGAGTTGTTCCAGACTGGAAATTATGAAGAGAGCTGCTGCAAACATTCATGTGTGTGAAAAGAAGTTTTCATTTGTCTAGGACAGATCCCCAGGAGTGGGATTGATGGATCATTCAGTATGTTTTTTATTTATTTTTTAATTTTTTTATTCTTTGAGACAGAGTCTTGCTCTGTTGCCCTGGTAGAATGCAGTGGCATCATCACAGCTCACTGCAACCTCAAATTCCTGAGCTCAAGAGATCCTTCTGACTTAGCCTCCTGAGTAGCCCAGCTAATGTTTCAATTTTTAGTAGAGATGAGGTCTTCACTCTTGTGCAGGCTATTCTCAAACTCCTGAGCTCAAGCAATCCTCCTGCCTTGGTTTCCCAACTATGTACATATTTTTTGAGACAGAGTCTCACTTCGTTGCCCTTGGTAGAGTGCTGTGGCATCACAGCTCACAGCAACCTCAAACTTTTGGGCTCAAGCAATTCTCTTGCCTCAGCCTCCCACGTAACTGGGACTATAGGTGCCTGCCACAAGGCCAGGCTATTTTTAGAGACGGGGTCTCCCTCCTGCTCAGGCTGGTCTCAAAACTGTGAGCTCAAGCAAACCACCCAACTAGGCCTCCCAGAGTGCTGGGATTACAGCCATGAACCACTGTGCCCGGCCCCAGCTATATATTTATTAGTAACTTTATAAGAAATAAAACTATGGCTCGGCGCCTGTGGCTCAAGCAGCTATGGCGCCAGCCACATAGACCTGAACTGGTGGGTTCGAATCCAGCCCGGGCCCACCAAACAACAATGATGGCTGCAACACAAAAAAAATAGCTGGGCGTTGTGGTGGGCTCCTGTAGTCCCAGCTACTTGGGAGATGGAGGCGGGAGACTAGCTTGAGCCCAGAAGTTGGAGGTTGATGTGAGCTGTGATGCCATAGCACTCTACCCAGGGGGACAGCTTGAGGCTCGGTCTCACTGAAAAAAAAAAAAAAAAAGAAAGAAAGAAAGAAAGAAAACCATTTTCCAGAGTTGTATTACTATTTTGCATTCTCATAAGTTATATATGAGAGTTCCAGTTGCTCCACATTCTCCAGAGCACCTGCCTTTGTCAGATTTTCTAAGGTGTAGAAAGCCTACAATGTTGAGAACCATGACAATTGAACTTGTCAAATAAAACCCTTTGACACACCTCATCCAGCAAAATCCTTAGTTTTAGGAAGAAGATATAAAATTTTAACTGTTGACTGTAGAGTTGAGAGAATCTTTGAAAGTACATACCAGTTCTCCTTCTATCTCTCTGGTTTGTAAGATCTGAAAAGTACAAGCTTTATAGTGAGTAGGTGTCAATTTTAGAAAACTAAATGGAGTTAATGGCCAGGGCTGGGTCTTATTATTTTTATTTTTTATTATTTTGTAGAGACAGAGTCTCACTCTATTGCCCTCCGTAGAGTGCCGTGGCATCACACAGCTCACAGCAACCTCCAACTCCTGGACTTAGGCGATTCTCTTGCCTCAGACTCCTGAGTATCTGGGACTACAGGCACCTGCCACAATGCCTGGCTATTTTTTTGTTGCAGTTTGGCCGAGGCCGGGTTTGAACCCACCACCCTCAGTACATGGGGCCTGCGCCTTACCCACTGAGCCACAGACGCTGCCCTGGGTCTTATTTTTAAGTGTTTTCTTTTCAACACTCATTTGCCTTGGCCAAACATAATTTTTTTTTCATCAGGTAGGAATGTAAATTACTGTCATTGTCCTGGTACAAGGATGCTTAATTTCTCCTTTGGGGGATCATAATGTGTGAAGGTAATCATATTCATCATTGCATCTGAGGCTCTCCCTTCTCTTATTCATTCTATACCTACAAGGGCATAAGTTTTGTTTTTGAGGCTTCTATCATTAAAAAGGAGGCACAGAAATTAATGAGCATATTTTAACAAAAAACCCTCATATTTCAGCCCCATCTTCAGATTGCTTAAGAAGTATCACAGTTTGTAGGATTCTAAAACAAATGAGGACTTTGGGGACCATAGAGCAACTGCACATAATGAGTTGCTTTTTGGTACCTAATGCTCAGTTACAGTTATGACCCTCCACATATGTATCCTTGACAATGTGGAAGGTATAGCAGGTACTTGAGTAGAACTGATGAGATTGGTTTTGTGATACCTGAACCAACCAGGCTGCTGAGGTTATATTTCATGGGAAAGCAGTTAATAGCCACCTGTAGGCCTCAGTGAAGAGAGCTCAGCTCACAGAGATACATCAAGTTCTCCTGGACCCGGGTTAACTTAATCAGTTGTGAATGGGACAAATGATAGCCTCATTATTAAATGAAAGTAACACAATCAGGATCAGAAAAATGCCAGCCCAATAAAAGTTTTTACCTTTCATTCAATTACAGATGGACTTTTCGTGTCCTGCAACCCTGCCCAGGCTTGGACTTCAGAGCTACTCTATGATTCAGAGAAGTCTTCATCATTATTATGGCCTTCACAAACTGATACCGGGTGTCAGCCCTTTACAGCTGACTTCAGGATGAATGTTACACATTGAGAATGAGAATACTGTTTTTCAGTGGGAAATAAAATAATAATAAACATACCTATTACCTAGAAAGATTCCTCATGTCAACCCTTATAAAATTTCTCATTTTGTAAACTAGTTTGCGATTCCTAGGTATATATTAATTTTAATTTTCCTGTTCAATAATGGAGGTGCTCTTTTAAATTGAGAACTTTGGAAACTTAGCCATTTTCAAGTTTTGCTCCTCAGCCATTACCTTTGTTGTTTCCTTCTATAATTCTCATTAGTTATATTTTGGAGGCTCTCACAATTCTCTGCGTATCTCACTTTTAAAAATATTTAGCTCTGCTTCGTTCTGGGTAAATTCCAAAGTACTAACTTCTAATTTACGGATTCTCTGTTCAATTGTATCTAGAGTTTATTCTACTTATGAAGATTTTAGTTTAGTAACTACTTTCTCATCTCCAAGGTTTTTAAATACTCACTTGTTTGTGTATCACTTCTGGTTTTTATTTCCTAATATTTTAAATTGTTATAATTTACTTATATTTTCATGAATCAAAATACTCATTTTAAGTTTTTTTTATCCTAGTATTTTGTTTTTCTAGTATATATATTTTTTCTCTAGTATTTTAATCTCACTGGGAATAAATCTGTCTTCTGATTTTGTTGTTGTTGGTTTTCTACTTAGATTACTACAGGGGTTTTAGAACTTTGGTTAGCAAGATCATTTTGAATGGAGAGTTCTGTGTATGTGAGAGAGTATGTGCACATTCAACTCTTCTCGTCTACATCTTTTGCAGTTACCTTAACCTGGCTCCCACCACCTTCAGTCAAAAACCAAGTCCTACATCAGTAGTTCAGTGCTTCTCACTCCATAGTGATACTGGGGATATCACAGGTCAAAGTATTAAGGCAAGGCAGAGAATAGCTTAGTTTGAGTCAATATTTGGACATCAATCTGTGTTTTAAATCCACTTTCTCCCTATGTCTGTGGTTTCACTTAAGCCAAAATGAAATAAACTGGTTGGCAGAGTTTCCTTTTTTTTTTAGAGACAGAATCTCACTTTCTTGCCCTTAGTAGAATGCCATGGCATCACAGCTCACAGCAAACTCCAGCTCTTGGGCTTAGGTGATTCTTGCTTCAGCCTCCCAAGTAGCTGGGACTACAGGCACTGATCACAATGCCCAGATAATTTTTTTGTTGTTGTTGCAGTTGTCCTTGTTGTTTTAGCTGGCCTGGGCGAGTTTGAACCTGCCAGCCTTGGTGTATGTGGCTGGCACCCTATCCATTGAGCTATGGGCGCTGTCCACAGCTATAGAATTTTTATTTTCTCATATTATTGCTTTACTGTTAGAGGAAATGTACTTCAGAAGTTCCCTCCTAATCGCCTATTTATGTAAATGTAGTTTTAAAATTCTAATGATGGCAATATCATTTTCTTGTTCTTTTATTTGCTATACACTTTTCCATCTACCTACATGGTCTTCGCATTTAGTATTTTAATTGCTGTAGAACATTTCATCCAGTGGTTTCGACTTAATTTCACTAGTATTGAGTATTTACTTTGTTTCTGTTTTACTATTATAAGTAACACTGATACTGGTTTTTAAGCATACTACATTTTTTTCTTATTTTGAATTACTGCTATGAGACAAATTCCTCAAAGAGGAATCATTGAGCTTAAAAAGTGATTAAAGACTTTTGTTTTATTTTCAGATTGTCCATTAAGAAGCATGAACCTCATGTGGGAGAGAGCCAGTTATCCTGAGGAAAACACAAGAGGCAGAGCGCAGAGAAATTTTAGGGCAATGAAACTACTGTGTATGATACTATAATGGTGGATACATGTCATTAAAATTTCAACTTACCTGACCATAAATGGCATCCCATAGGATGTACAGTGCCCACAGAATGCACAATACCAAGAGTGAACCCTACTGTAAACTACAGAGTAGAACACAAACACACAACACCAACAGTAGATCCTAATCCCTGTGATAATGCTGTGTCACTGTAGGTTCGTCAATTCTAACAAATGTACTATGCTGGTGGGGTGTCCTGATAGTGGAGAGAGGGTATATAGGAAATCTCTGTACCTTTCTCTCAATTTGGCCGTGAACCTAAAACTGCTTTAGAAATAGTTTATTTTTTTAAAAAGCAAGCATGAATTTTTTTTTTGACATCAAAACCCAGCAATACACAAGAACTTTCCTGCGGCCTCATTAGCAATATTATGTTTTCATTTTTATTAACTTTATGATGGAAAAATATTTTCTCACTAAGTGGAGCTAATTTTCCAGTATTAGCTTACTCTTTTATGCTCATACTTGAATTTTGTTTATAGATTTTACCCAATTCACCCTTAGAGGTCCATGTTGGACATGAAATAGATTAAGGGTTTGTTCTGTGAAGTTTGAATTTGGAGAGCCACATGTGGCCTTGAGGCCTCAGGTTCCCCATGCCTGATTTAATCATGTCTTCTTCCAAATATAGTGAGAAGTCTTCAACAGAGTTCATGTGGCTGATCAGAAACATTATTAATGATTTTAGTGATATCTCAAGAATCTTACCAAAACGGACATTCTGCTTTCCAAATTCTTTCGCAATTCCTTCCTTCTCCCCAGGAAACTAATGCACTCCATAATTGTAAGCAACTTTTACCACAAGAGGCTTTATTATACAGGGGAGGAGGAAAAGGCTACAGGACAAATTCTAACCTGAATCTCACCTCTAAATGGCTAGAATGATTCACAGAAACAGTTCTATCTCCTCTAATCTCAAAATTCATGAGATGCCATGTTTTGAAACTTTACACAGCACCATCTGGGAAGATTCTTACTCAGTTCATCTGTGGAGGGTCACAAGAGTCTGCATTTTTAATACATATGTCCAGACAATAACAGAGAATTGTCCTGAGGTACATGCCAAAGAAGCCAGCAAGTGCTGAAGTTTGACCCACATGTGCCCCAGCACAGCTGAAGTGCTTTTTTCTTTGCACCAGGGCACCAGTGACTCACCAATGAGTACAAGCACTGTACTAACCATGGATGGTACTGTTTTCCTCTTTGTATAGACATTAATCCGTGTAGTGTGCTTAATCCCAGCTGACTCTGAATCAGGTAATTGGAATCACATTTTCTAAAAGCTACAGATACAAAATTGATGAGGGCCTTGAAATTTCCTAAGAAAAGGTGTACATTTTCTTAAGAGTAATGTTAAAGACTGACAATCTGAAAGGTAGATTAAGATTTGCTAGAATAGCTTGAAAAATTTCTTTGTAACAATAGATTAAGTCACAGAGAAAAAGAAAATCAATGATGCCACAGACTGATAATATTTTTTCCTTTGGTGTTTTCCTCAAGAGACACTCTTTTTTTTTTTTTTTTTAGATACAGGGTTCCCCTCTGTCACCCAGGTTGCAGTGCAGTGATGTCATCATAGCTCATTGCAACCTCAAATTCCTGGGCTCAAGTGATCCTCCTGTCTCAGTATCTCAAGTAGCTGGGATTACAGGCATGTGCCACTATGCCCAACTAATTTTTTACTTTTATTTTGTATTTGTAGAAGACAAGGTCTTACTCTTGCTCAGGCTGGTCTCAAACTCCTGGTCTGAAGTGATCCTCCTGCTTCCCAAAGTGCTAGGTTTATAGGCATGAGCCACTGTGCCTAGACTAAGATACTCTAATATTAAGGCAAGAATATTTCTTTGAGAATTGACACAACACTGACACAGCATTGAAAATGCAGTGGGGCTCGGGGCCTGTAGCTCAACCAGCGAGTGTGTCAGCCATATACACCAGAACTGGCAGGTTTCAATCCAGCCTGGGCCTGTCAGACAATAATGACAACTACAACAAACAAACAAACAAAAACAAAACAGCCGGACATTGTGGTGGGCACCTGTAGTCCCCAGCTACTTGGGAGGCTGAGGCAAGAGAATCACTTAAGCCCAAGAGTTTGAGGTTACGGTGAGCTGTGACACCACAGCACTCTACCCAGGGCGACAGCTTGAGACTCCATCTCAAAAAAAAAAAAAGAAAAAAGAAACTGCAATGGGGTCAGATAAATAACATTGCTTGTTACTCACGTGGTGGATTTTTAAATTAACCCAGAAGGAAATAATAGGTATGTGGGTAATGATTTTTAACAAGTGAGATGTGAAACACAACATTTAGTTTTTAACTATAGACAGAAATTCTGCCTAGGAATAGGTGTTCTCTCACCATTTGAGAAAAAATGAAAATCCACTATGAGAGAAAACTCAAGATTTCAATAGACATTTAAATAAGGAGGCCTGGTCAGGAAAAGCTGACTAAGGAATATGGGGTAAACATTTCTGTCTCTAACATTTGTTCACTGAGGCTGTGGTCTCTGAATTTAATGAAGGGATTATTATGCTCTTAAATGGCATTGGAAAAATCTTTTGGATGAGCAGATCAGTATACAATGTTTCTTCTAAGTCTGGCAGGCCAGGTCTATGAAGATTACCAGAGGAAAATGCCTCCTTGACAGTCTTTGCCTAGATCATGTGGAACTTCTGTCAAGGAGTGACCAGGTCCAACTGACTATGCACCTGACTGGCATGTTTGCAGCCAGTATTCTGAGAATCCATTACCCTGACTCAATTTGAGCTAACAGAGCCGCTGGCTCCACCTAAAAAAGGTTCCCATGTGGCAGGCCTGGTGGCTCAGGCCTCTAATCCTAGCACTCTGGGAGGCAAAGGTGGGAAGTTCACTTGAGCTCAGGAGTTCAAGACCAGCCTGAGCAACAGCTAGATCCCATGTCTGTGAAAAATAGAAAAATTAGCCGGGTGTTTTGGTGGGCACCTGTACTCACAGCTACTTAGGAGGCTGAGGCAGGAGGATAGCTTGAGCCTAAGAATTTGAGGTTGCAGTGAGGCCTGATGATGTCACTGCACTCTATCCTGGGGAATAGAGTTAGCCTCTGTCTTAAGGAAAATTAAAAAAAAAAAAAAAAAGGATGTCACTTCATCCCTACCATGTGGCTTAAGCTAGAGACTGGATGGCTTTTCCTTGGCATGCAGTGCAGTGTGGGTCTTGAGTGCCCCCACATACGTGAATCTCCTTCCACACTCATTGCAAGAAAAAGGCCTCTCCCCACTGTGATGGTATAGATGGGCCTTCAAACTTCTCTTCTGTAGAAAGCCCTTGCCACACTCAGTACACCGGAAGGGCCTCTCTCCACTGTGTGTATACAAATGGACCTTTAAACTTCCCCTTATGCAGTAGCTCTTGTTGCACTCCGGACACTGGAAGGGCTTCTCACCACTATGGACTCGCATGTGTTCTGTAAGCCTGTACTGCTGAGTGAAACTTTTGCCACACATAATACAAGAGAATGGCTTTTTGCCACTGTGCTGGAGCAGGTGGCTTTTCAAATTTCCCTTGAGACGGAAACTTTTATTGCATTCAGGACAGTGGTAGGGCTTCTCGCCACTGTGCACTCTCAGGTGTTCAGTGAGCTGAGACTGATGAGTGTAAGTCTTGCTACACTCACTACACCTGAAGGGCTTCTCACCCCTGTGTATCCGCTGGTGGAACTTCAGGGAAGCCTTCCAGGAGAAGCTCTTGTCACACTCAGGACACTGAAAAGGCTCCTCCCCACTGTGAAGCCTCACATGCTCAGTGAGATGTGCACGTCGGCGGAAGCTCCGGCTGCACTCAGCACAAGAGAATGGCTTTTCTGTGCTGTGGATCTTGAGGTGCTGTGTGAGGGCTGCCTGCTGAGAAAAGGTCTTTTTGCACACCCTACAGGGGAATCCCCTTTGTCTGCTATGAATTCTGGCATGGTAGGCGAGCTTGGAGGGCCGGGTGAACCTCTTGCCACACTCCTCACAGGAGAATGGCTTCTCCTCACTATGTAGACGCTGGTGGGCCTTCATGGCATTCCTCCAGAAGAAGCTCTTCTTACACTCTGGACATTGGAAGGGCTTCTGTCCACTGTGCTGCAATCGATGGGCTTTTAGGCTTCTCTTTAGGCGGAAACTTTTATTACACTCGGGACATGAAAAGGGCTTCTCTCCTGTATGAACTCTGATATGCTCATCGAGTTTAATTTTATAGATGAATTTCCTGCCACAATTATCACAAGAAAATGGCTTCTCTTCATTATGTGTCTTTTGGTGGGTCTTCAAAGTAGCCTCCTGAGAAAAGCTTCTGTCACACTGTGGACAGTGAAAGGGCTTCTTCCCACTATGCTGAGAAAGATGGACCTTCATCCCTCTCTTCAGGCGGAAGCTCCTGTCACACAGCGGACACTGGAAAGGCTTTTCCCCACTGTGTAGCCGGCGGTGCTCGGTGAGCTCACACTGCTCAATGAAAGCCTTACCACACTCCTCACAGCAAAATGGCCTTTCTCCTCTGTGCAAACACAGGTGCTTCTTTAAGTTGCCTCTATACCGGAAGGTCTTGTCACATTCAGGGCAGGGGTAGGGCCGCTGTCCTGTGTGGACAACCTGATGAGTGACTAGGCTGCCCTTCAAATAGTAGCTCTTTTCACACTGATTGCACTGGAACCGCTGCTTCTTACAAGGGAACCTCTGGCTCCACCTGAGTTCAGATTTCCCTCTGGATTTGTTCTTGTACTCTGGGTATTTATACAGCTGGTTCTTGCAGTGGCACCTTTTGTGGTTTACCAAGTCACTCTTTCTCTGGAAGACTTTCCCACAGACACAACAGTAATAAAATCTTGGCTCTGCTGGAGTTTCCAAGTGACCTGGTATACCTGGAGATTTATGCCACAGACCTTTTCTGTCCTGATTAGGAGCTGTGACATTGAGTTTTTTGTGTATAATCTCTGTTTCCTGGAGACTTGGAGACTGGAAGATGGATTTTTGATTCGATAAAATCTTTCTCCTCTCCCCTAATAAAGTAGCACACAAGTCATGCTTTTGAAGACCGTTTAAATGAGATTCTTCTTCTTTTGTCCCAAAAGTTCCTTGGTCACCTGGAGAAGAAAAAAATACCCCTCTAATCAGTGGTTATGTCCATTATACAGTAGGATTCAAGGACTGCCTTCACATTACTAACAAAGTAGGAAAGGGAATCTCATTGATCTCAATGACATTGTGAATCTGCCTCCAACAGATAAATTTTATTTCACTTTTAAATTCCTTTTACCATGTGTTAAGAAATGACTTAGTGGGCTGCCCATAGCTCAGTGGTTAGGGTGCTGGCCACATGCTCCAGGGCTGGTGGGTTTGAACCTAGCCCAAGCCTGCCAAACAAGCAAACAAAAAATGACCAATGTTGTGGCAGGTGCCTATAGTCCTAGCTACTAAGGAGGTTTAGGCAAGAGAATCACTTGAGTCTGAGAGTTTGAGGTTACTGTGAGCTATGATACCATAGCACTCTACTGAGGGTGATAAAGTAAGACTCTTCCTATAAACATGCTTTTACTATTTAAAAAAAAAGAAATTAAAACAAAAAGAAATGACTTAGCACAAAACAATTGCAAGCAAATACATCTTGTACACTATAAATGACGCTTAGAGGGTAAGCAGAATTTGGAGACGATTAAAATGAGCTATTCTGGGGCAGTACCTGTGCCTCAGTGGGTAGGGCACCAGCCCCACATACCAAGGGTGGCAGGTTCAAATACAATCCCAGCCAAACTGCAACAAAAAAATAGCCAGGCATTGTGGCAGGCGCCTGTAGTCCCAGCTACTCAGGAGACTGAGGCAAGAGAATCGCCTAAGCCCAGGAGTTGGAGGTTGCTGTGAGCTGTGTGATGCCACAGCACTCTACTGAGGGCAATAAAGAAAGACTCTTTGTCTACAAAAATAAGTAATAAATAAAAATAAATGAGTTACTCTTGAGAATATAACTGAACTATAATACAGTCTGATTATTTAGCCATAGACTGTAGCCACATGTCTGACTATAATATTTCCTCAAATCTATGAAATAAGTAGCACAATATTTAAGTAAGAAGTCTTATCATATTCTTATCCTCTTCTACTATGATTTCAAGAAAAATTTCAAGAAGAAATGGTAATACAAAGTATATTTCTTACAGGTTGCAATTTACTGAAGTTACAAAGAATTCAATGTAGAAATTATTTCATTTTCCAAAGGACTCTGTCTTATAGGCAAGATCTATTTATATAAGCACACTCACTACTGTTCCAAATAGCCATGATAACAGAACCCAGAAGGAACTGAGTTATCACACGATTACCCACCAGATATGGACAGGATAATTTCAGACATTCACCTAAGCCATTGTGTTTCAGAACTGCTTCCCCTCCAATGTCCTGTTGAACAGGGTAACAGACCTCTTATTTTTATCTCTTAACCTCGGAGGAAACCTGAGTGGCCCTACCCCTAGAGGACTCTCACTATGCTCTGTGTTCATCTTAAGGACAACATAAATGATGTTTCCAACTGGATCACGTTATTTAGTAAGTCAGTACTCAATGGCTCTTGTCTAGATCATGACAAAGGCATACTTAGCTGTTTCCTGGAATCCTATTTCTCATCACTGGAAATTTAATCTTCCTATAAACATGCTTTTCTATTTAACTCTAGCAGAGAGGCAGTTGTACTTAATAGTTGAGGACCACCTCGTGCCAAGGGAACAACACTGATTTGTAAGAATATCCACCACAGTTGTTATCTTTGGTACTCAAAAAACTTTCCAGGCTCCTCCCTTTCTGTAAGATGAAGTCATACTCTCTACACTGGCATTCCTGACATGAAATAACCTGACACCAGCTATGTTTTCCTTCCTCTCTTCCATTATGTCCCAAGAACAGGCAGGTCTTCCTTGTTTCCTGAATTTAATAAATATGTTCCC